AAGAAATATATACTTCCCGGCCCGAGAGTGGATTTGATTTTTTACCATAATTTCAAGGAATGATTATATAAAACATTGCCCACAGGTCTGTGAGTGTACTGTAGAAAGATCGAATGATCAGGATTTAATCCAAGACCCCTCACTTTCTACATGGGTGTAATTGAGCAAGTTATTTAACTTTTCTGAGCCTCAGTTTCCCGAAAGTGTCAAATAAGATATCTACTTGCCAAGATTGGGTTTTAAAAAGTTTGTTTGTAAAATGTCTGATACATAATGGGTTCTTTATTTTTTTAAAATTATACAAAAAAAAACAGTTTTAACTTCAAGGGGCAATGTTAGTCATAACTTGTCTGCATAGCAGCAGTATTTAGGAAGCCACAACGTTTCCAGATTTCTGCTCATCACTTAGTTTGTTTTATTCAGTAAACATTGACTGGACTCCCACTAAATGCTGAACGCTGCACTAGGATGCAAAACCAGTGAAACAATAACCTGTCTCACAGCTATGTAAACAACTTATTCATTTTATTGAAAGCCATGATCAGAACTGTTCAGAAAGTTTTCTCATCTGTAGTGTTCAAGTCGTGGTATTTGCTCTCTGGCTGCTATTTAATGAATCCTGAAATTGTTTTTATAACCTAAAATAAAATTTTATGATATGATAAAATAACCTAAAAGAAAATCTGATTAAAAAGTTTATTTAATGTGGAATAAAATTTAATATAAAGCAGCTCTAATATGAATAGCAAGGGAATTTTGTTACTAACCAATAGAACAATATAATGCGGCAGTTTCGCTAAGACTGTATGACAAAATGGAACCTGAACTCTGCTCCAGTGTATTAATAATTAGTGTGACTTTTACAGAGATTGGAGGGTAGGCTGTCATCAGACATCACAGGGAAGTTCTGTTCCATAAGCTGGCAGAAACAATTTCTTCTTTCTTTAAAGAGGAAAACCGCGTTTTATAGTTGAGTGTTCATCAAAAGAGGTATCTACTAGTTTTTCCCTTTTAATCCTGCTTTTCAGATTGTGCTAGCCCAGAGAGAGTTGTAAACCCCTTGAATATAAGACATTGGCTTCAGTTTTTATTATGTCAACTCTCATATGCATCTCTAATGTTTGTCTAATTTTTATCCTACCAAGAGAGCATAATCATTATGCAGTAAATATGGACTGAGTAATATTACAACATCTCAGATTCAGGAGACTCTCCCATGATAGGAAAATATATTTCAGAATCAAATACTCTTATTTCCTGAGCTTCATTTTCTTTGTTATTTTTTATTTATTTTCATTTTCCTAACTTATAGAATAAACAAATGCAGCTTGGAACAGTTAAAAAGTTTCTTACGGTTATTGATAATAAAACAGTCCAAATTATGTTACACTAAATTTCATAAATTCCTGGCTTTAAAAATACATATGATGTAATGGCATGTTAAATAATGGCCAATACTATTTAGTTGTCTTATTTTCCATTTCTGTTTTGCTTCACCGTCTTACCGTTTTATCTTCAACCTTTGAATCTTCAGTACTCTTAACTGTATCACTGAGGATTAACAATCCTATGTATTTAATTTATTTACATGCACACACAGAAAATGAAATGTCATATCTAGAGTAGCTTTCCCGTAACCCAGCTCTATTCATGTCCCCAAAATCACCGATGCTCTTATTCCAGATCATGATGAGGACTAGCTGGGGTGTTAAGTCTGAC